CCGCTGTCAGGAAAGGCGCTCGGTGGCGGGGGATACCGGGGCCGGGGCCGGGTACCGGTACCTGCTCAGTGCGACAGCTCCGCTTGCCCATCTCTTATAGCGCGGCGCTGCCCTGTCTGGGGGCTTGGAGTGGGCTTGTAGAGGAATGGCATCCTTCTGCCCCAAAATAACCCCTTTCAGCCCCAAAATAACCCCTTTCAGCCCCAAACCGAGCTCAGGGCTCTGGAAGAGCCTTCCCCTGTGGCGCTTGCGTTGCGTTTCGGTAACGGGGCGCGACTCGCTGTCTTGCAGGTGGCCGGTGGGTCGGGGACAGGATGAGAGAAGCAGAAATACGGAGGCTCGGGGCCGCCAACCTCCTCGGTGTTGTGTCCATTGCCCTGACAGCGGTTGTTCCCGGTTTCTTCTGGGACGGATTCACGGTTTTGGGAACGCACCTCGCGTGGCTGTGTGTTTGTTCTGTTTGGGTGGGGACCCTTAACGTAATTTTGCACTTAGTCTTTAAACCAAATCTGTCTCCTAAGAGAAGTTCGTTTGCTCACAAGGTAAGATTTTTGTTCTTAAGTTGCTACCAGACAGTACGGAGGGGAAGCAAATGCTTTCGCTGAAATAATCAAATGACAAAGAAGACAATTTTTGGTGGTGAATTCTTGTTTTCCATGAATGAGCTGAGTGTAGCACCTTTTGAAATCAGTCCTCCGATATTTTTGTGACGTTAAGCTTCCTCTACCTGTAAGGAACCTGTTCAGGTGAGCGGTTCTGTGCCTTTCCTTTTTCTTGACAATATATTGGTGTTCGTAGTCCCAGCCATTGATCTTCCAACAATGTGCGTGGTGGCAAAAATCAGCAAAATTGAGTGGGTGCAGAACTCATTTTGTAGTCCAGGCCTGGCCTTCAGTGTTATGAAGGAACGCTTTTCTCATCTGTAGCTGGAAGTTTCTAGTAACTTTAAGGGAAGTTTCTAATAACTTTAAGGGAAAGTAAATAGGTTTTAGAATTTAAGATGTGAAAGAGAGACTAGCTCATTACAATTTAAACCAAAGTTAGTAAATTTTAAAAAATGATGTGGAAACGTATCCAAGGGCCTGCATTTCCTTGAATGACAAAATTTGCATACAGAAGAATCTAGATCTGGGAGATGTTTTTGTAGTAACAGTTTGCAACGGGAGCGTTAAAGGTACGAATCGCAGTGAAATGGGTTTGAACAGAGCGAATTTGGAGCAGCACGCTACTTGTTCAACAGTGGGGGTGTTTTGAGGTCAGGTGGGTAGTCCTGCACTCCCCACGTGCTGAGTCAGGCAAGATTTACTGCTCTGAGGAGGGGTTCTTAAACACTTCAGCAAACATCCCTGAGAGCTGTATCTTTGTATACAAAGCTTCTGCCTGGTTTTGCTCCTGAGGGGGATGTGAAATACACAAATTCATTATGGAAAACAAGTATTTTAACCTTCTGTGATTTAAAAATGAAGCAGGCTTCGTGTTCTAGGTGAGATTTCATTCCAGCCTAGTGTGAGGAATAAATAGCAAATAAAAGCATATAAGTGAAATTATGGATTTCCATTGGTGACCTGATGAGAACAGACCTGACCAGAGCTGTTTATCGAGCGGCTATGCTTCTGTATGATATAGTGAGTCCTCAGAAACTGCTCTTTAAATTCATAGAAAATCATGTGTTTGGCAGATTTATAGAGTCATGGAAGTTTCTCAAAACAGATTTAGAATTTAAGATGCCGAGTTCAAAATGTAGTGGTTTTTATTTCATGTAACTTTAAATATTACATTTGATTGAGTGTCTTTTTTTTATTTGTTTATATTGCATATTTTCATGCTTTTAAACATTTTTTCACTTTCTGTGGAAGATGCTTTTTAATGAATGGACGTAACACTCAGATGTAAAACAGAAATGTAAAAATATCCAATAAAATTTCCACTGTTTGTCTTGTCATTTCCAGTTACATTTTTTGTATGTTTGCTTGAAAAACAGGGCACATGAAAAAATTTTAGACGGAGTGTAATCATTTGTAATTAATAATTAAAAGTATTAAACACAGGGAAAACAGTTTTGAAATATGTCATGCTATTATCATGCTGTGCTGTAGCTGAAATGAAAGAAATAGGTATTGATAAGTAAAGAAATGCTATTGCTAAGTACAGACTATGTATGTTACTTATGTTCTCTTTTCTTTTGAAACGTTATTCTGATATTTTATTGCTCTTTTTTAGATATCCAGATTTCTAAAATGCTGTATATACTTTTTCATGTCTTGCATACTGTTTCATGCGATTATTGTTCTTTATGGAGCACCTCTCATAGAGTAAGTCAGAAGACCCTGTCTTTCTTTAAATGTTTTAAGGGGCAGTTCTTCTTGCAGTTATTGGTATAGGTACTTTATATTTTCTGGTACATTGGAAGTTAAAGGATAAGCTCCTGGCTGTAGGAAAAAGGGTGACTGGTTTGGTTTTTCGGGGATTTTTTTGTTTGGAGTTTTTGGGGGGTTTTTGGTTTTTTGTTGGTTGGGTTTTTCTAGAAGCTGGCTCTTACAATTTCTGTATATTTGGAGATGTGTTGTTCAAGACAGTTACAAAAAACTCCTTTTGCTTTAATGTTAATGGTAAACATACATGTGCAGATGTTTTTCCAAGTTTCATTTAGTGATTTTTCCCCATGAGATTGTAAAACAGGCGTCTTTCATGTCTTTCAACCTCTTGACATTGATGTTTAAAAAAAAAAAAGGCATGAAGCAGCCTGATTTCTGAGAGCAATACTAAGTTACTGACTAACAATGGCATCGTGTAGTTGGCT